GGAAAATAATTTCGACAAATTATAGATAGAAATTTGATTCGAGTTTTTTTCACAAATTACTTGGGGCAGGGGGGGGGCATTAAGGAAAAAATATCTAACCATTTTCTCAGATTCTTTCGTCATCCAGTCCGCTGAGTATGAGTGCAACTCGAGCGAGTCCAGAACGAAAATCGTCGTGATTCCGAAATGGTCTTAATTTCCCTGCACCAATCGGAACATGTTTCCCTAGCTGCAAACAACCTGGTGTTAACTTTCGAATGACTACTAGGCATTTTTGTCAGGCGCGGCGCGAGACGTACCTTTGACACATTCTCTCGAAGCGATCATGAGAACGCTATGGTTGGGGCCAATAGTTTCAACTTTCCATGATTCAGTATCATGCGTTCGTTTGACCTCAGTTTTTCGATTTCGTAGATGATGTCCATCCTATGTCCACTTCTTGATCAGTGTCCCCTCTAATCTATCCATTTCAAGTGTAGAAGTTTGTGCCTTGTTTTCATCGTCATCACGAAATGCTAATTGTACATGCGTATTTTCTGATGAGCTATTTTAGCGCAATGTGGCTCGGAGGGGCAGTGGGGAGAGTGCAAGGGGGAGGGGGGTGGAGCCCGTAACATTGCTTCAGATTCACGGAAACTCCAGTTTAGGACTAAGCCTTAGAGGAGAAGAGGGAATTCGAGTGCGTAAGCAATTCTCATTCTCTCCGAACTCGTCCCTCTCAGTTAGGCTTAGTGCTAGCGGTTTTCCTACAGACTACCCCCTCCCCCCGTAGGCACATTGCGCCGTTATTTTTCTTCGAGGAAGTTTGTGTTTCTATTGCTGTAGTGATTGTGCCCTTTTAAAACGGCAGTATATGATAAAACTTCCTTGTTTTGTGTGATGCACCCTAGAGTATGTCAATTAAAATAAACATGTTTTGTAGTGCGTCATATTTTCGTGCTCCGCCAGATTTAGTCGATCATAATAAAAGAGCAATTGATATAGTTAAGCAAGAAGACGAACGCAGGGAATGAGGTACGAAGAACGGCTATGGAATGGCGAAAGAAAAAGGTACTACCTATAAAATCGGTGATGTTGTGGTGAAGGATTTCGAAGATGAACAGGCCCAAGGACAAAGGCAGCCAAAAAAGGATAACCACAAAAGCACAGGAGTAGCTGAAAACAAGTGTATTGCTGTATGTACCAGCCATTAACAATCGAAAACAGAGCTGTATTTCAACTTTATTCGAAGAAATGCTTTTTGATAGTACATTATCAACTGTAGCTCACTTTGACTTGGACTAGGAAGTTCCGCACTGAAAAATAACCATTCTTATCAACACAGAGGCGTGATTCATGTGAAGCTTCCTATGCCAATATTATTGTGGCTCATGGAACCTTGAACAATGGGATAGCCTAAGCGCAGGAGGGTGAAGTGTTAGACATAAACCCGAGTGAGGAGCGGCGTAAGGGGGGGGGGGGGAGAGGATGGGCGCTCAAGTTGGACCACTCGTAGAACTTGGGACTATGCCTTCGTGAGGGGAGAGGATGTGAGCATTTTGTGTTCTCCGTGGCGTTTCTCTCCTCTCCTGGGCTTATTGATAGTCTTAGTGTCATCCACCAATGGCCCTGTTTTAGATGTCCCGTCGAAGGGCATGAGGGCTGGGGTTGTTTTTGTCTGTCTGGAGAACACACATGCAGTAAACCTTTCTTCTGCTTCTTCTCAGAAGCACTGATCTCGGTTGTCACGGGTCCGGCTCTTGTCCGGTGTCGCTGCTTTCTCCCACCTGAACTGTCTTCCATCCTGACATTATATTAGGTCAGGTTTTTCTTGATGGCAATCGTCCACCTCTTCTTTGGAGCTTCTCATGGTTGGTGGTCTTGGGCTCAAAGTCTTCTGCTCTGCTTGTAGAGTATTGTGTGGCCCTTCTCAGAATGAGCCCCACCATTGTAGCGCTAGTTCGCAGCTCATCAGAAACTAGGGGCAGCTTGCATAACAATATCTCCTATGATTTCCGTACCCTTCTGGAGCGGATTTTGATACTTCTGTTGAGGCGGATTGTCGAGAGGGGTTCAAGAAGCTTGTCGAAAACCCCAGTTTGAGGGGCCTGGTCACGACTGACCGCCCAAGTAAGGTCACTTAATCATTCACGCTTCAGCCACCACCGTGCCAATCGGTTGGGTCCCCTCTAGTCTCTCTTTCTGTGATACATAAAGGGTTAAAGGGTAAGACATTCGGCGTTAATCAATCCCGTTTTAGGCTTCTACTTCCATTCAGAATCGGAACGGCAATTTGCCGCTACTTTGGCGTTGCGGGGTTAGCGCCATATCAAAGTCGGTGTTTTCCACGTCCTTTCAGACAAGACTGGAACCAGTTACATCACCTCGGAGGGGTGGAAAGACGGACGAGTCACGAACCCTGGATTCCATCCCCGGACAGCGCCCGTATTAAGCAGCGCCATTTGCCACTAAACCGCTTGCGCCCTCGTGAGATGCATACACATTAGTAAACATACAAACGCATTGTGCTAATTCCCTTCCTTTCCCGGACAGCCGTCGGGTTCTCTTTGTTTTGAATCTGCGATATGACTCTTGTAGTGCTTCAGGAGCGTAGCTGAAACTTTCCAAGAGAGTACCTGCTAAGTTGCTTTCTTGCTTACTGATGATTTAGTTTCCGTTCTTGATGAGCTGCTAAAGTAGCTTGCACTACGTTTTGGCTTCGTTCTCGGTTTAAACATCACCTGAAGTTGTCGCTTTTTTCTACAGGGATACTCTACAGGTTCTGTAGGAAATGGAGCATTCAAGCAGTTTGTCCGACTTCTAACAAATGGATACGGAATAATTGTAGTTATAAAAATAACTCACTTCCTTAATATACTGCAAAAATTCTACCGTTAGCACCAGCGTTATGATGAGCATTCTATCAAGTACGACTTACCAACCACTCAACAGCGTTTATTATTGAGATGCAGATAAAACGTGATAAGGAACCAAGGAAATTGTTCTCTTCCTAATTCTGCTAAACTCCACTTTTGAAGACCGGGTGCCGAGAATCTCTATGAGAAGTGTGTTCAGTAGGGAAGGATATGCGAGCCAAGCGTAAAGGGCAGCTCAAGGCGAGTTAAGACGCCTTCATAATTTGAGGCGGAAATGATTATGATGCGTATCCCTCATTGGAAAAGCAGCATCCTGTTGTACTCTAGCGCACGTTATGGCCCGGATAGAAATCCTCTGCTCCCTGTAAATTTTACCATCGAAGCTGAGCTGTTCTGGAATGGTGCGCCGGTGGCGAAACTGGTAATACAGTTGTCCGGAAAACAAGAGATCCGGGTAGGAAACCCGGCTGGGCGAAACCTTGCACACACTCATTTTTGGGCAGTATACGATTGTCTAGTAGTAATTCAGCATTTGTTATTGAGAAGGGTTAGCCCTGATTCGCTATAGGAAACGATCTTTGTGAGGCGTTTGCACAGCGCAAAACGTCAGAATTTGATTTATGCCGTTATGGCCGACTAGGTGGTGTAGCGGGAAAGACGCCGATTATCCGTGAATGGTCCGCGGATCCAATCCGGATCGGACCTCGTCTAGGCCGATGAAACCTTTCATCCTTCGGGGGGTCGGCCAACCGTTAGCAGACTCATGTGGAAGAATCGAAGGAAGATCGGACGTCGTTTTTGGGATCATTTCACTTAGCGTAAAGCGTCCAAGAGTAGCGCTTCAGATCAGAGAAGGTGCTCTTTCGTTGGCGCGAGTTAGAACTATACGGCGGAGTTGTAAGAGCTGTTAACAACCCAAAATTCTCCAATTTTTTTATGTTTCTTTCTCCTATTTGTGGTCAAACTTTCTAAAATACTGGCTTTGTCTTACTTTGCTTCCGAATGAACGCCCCGCTATCTACAGAGATGACCGAAAAAAGGACACTTGACCTCTCGATCGCTAAATTCCTCTACTTGCTCCCTCAACTGCAGTTTGTAGAAGCTCATCCAGTCCCATGCAGCGGACGTCATGATATCGTCCAACCCTTCTTTTCTTTCTTCTTCTCTAGTGTGAGTCCCACGCAGTTGCACTCTGCCCTGGCCAGGGCATTCTGATGTGGCCGTGACTTTAGTGAGGTTTGCTTGATGAGGTTTCCCCACCTCTTCTCTGGGGCTCCTCGCGGCGTTTGCCTTGGCTTTCAAAGTCCATGGCTGGGGTGGAACGATGGCGTGAAGGGTGTGTGGTGCGTTGGTTTGTGTTTGTGTATGTGGAAAGTACAGGAGAATATGATTGGCAAGAATTTATTCTCGAATAAATAAGACTCTCGGGCAACACGGAAAAATACATCTAAAAGTTCATCGGGCTACAATCGGCTTTTTACATAGTGACTCATACGATACCCAAGTTGTTACTCATAATCTCTACTTCCCAGAACCAGGTGCATGTCGAGTGCAGACCACACACCACAAGTGACGACGGCCTCTAAGCAAATCAGGTGATTTGGGTTCATAATGATTGCTGGAATTGGTAAATGATAGCTGTGATTAGTGACAACTGGTTAAATACAGCTACAACCCTGGCAATCATATCACTGGCCGAAAAGATTCACATTTTGTGGGGGCCGTCGTCACTTGTGTTGTGTGGTCTGCGCTCGACGTGCACCTGGTTTTCAAAAACAGGGGGTATAAATGAATGGGGGGGGGGGGATGATGGCTGCTGAAGTTGGGTGTCCCTCAAAACTTACCAAGAATACCATTTCACTCGTACGTACAAGCGTGAACCGTTTTAACATAGTTATCCGTAGAATTACTCATACAGCTGTGACCATGAAAAAGTCAAATGAAAAATATTACGAACTAGAAGAACGGGGCAGATGGGTACAGAAAGGTGTTGTATGTGCTGAATTGATACACTAAATCGATTATTTTGTATGGGGCAAAATTTGTGTGGCACATGAGAAAGGAGTTGAATAATAGAACTGATATGCAGTAAGAAAATGCCATCAAATGGTGCTTCGTACTTGAAAACACACACTGCTCACGAGGTTAATCGTCTGGATATATTGCTCTCAACCATGGTTTTGGGATGTACCTGAATAAGCAGCAATCAATAAGCTAGATATGCATGTACAATACTTTTATGGGTCACGGGCTACTTGCCAATGTACAAGCCTCTGAAAAATTACCTGACTGATAAACCGTTAACCTTGGACAAACAAATGGGCCATATCTCGCCGTATGAGCAAGTGTGTCAATGGAAATTATGTAGCGGCCACTGCACTTGCAATAGAAGCGGTGCGGATAAGCTGTTTCCAACAAACTCGGCCAAATCAGCAGAAACATCCTGGGAACAGTTTATCCAAGACTCCTACAAAGTGCAACGGCTGCCACGTCAAACCCATCGACACGACTTCTCGGACGGCGAGATATGGGGACTGTAAGATAGTCTCAGACCTCGCGATCACAATGGGACCACTGTGGCGTGTGGGGCGTAGCGCAGTGTCAGAAATCGTGGAAAGAGCTCGCCATCATCCATCCATAAGAAGCCCTAGCAGACTGCATTTCTGACATGACAGTAGCATCGTTTACGCCCGCGACTACTATCGCGATTGTAATCGCGAAGCACTGCCACCTATCTAAGCATTGCTGGCAGACGCCGGTGAAGTTACTTTCCAGAGAGAATACGCTGGTTACTTTCTACAGTTTATGGGCTCTTAGACTGCCTTTTCTGAAGGCAATAAATTCAATACTCTGAAATAGTATTTCGGCCATTCACCGGCAGGATCAACCGTCATTGTCGTAAGATCAACGAAGGGGTGAGGGGGGGAAAGTATGGGGTTTTTGTGATAATTGAATGGGAGTCCGTGCTTTAGTTGTGGTGCCGGTGAACTAATAACTGAATGACAGCCGTACTTTGGTTTGTGTGGTGATGATGATGACAAGAGGGACGGTATTTGGGATATTCAGAAGAGGTCGTGGTTACGAAGTTGGGGTGATGGTCGCGTTTCAGTAGATGAAGATGGGGACTTCTCACGGTCCCTCCTCTTAAAAGCAAGGACCTCGAAGATCGAACACCACGGACAAGCTCACGTCACCGTAGCGGAATGAAGCAGATCGAGTCAACCTCCAAAAACTACTTACATTGATTCAAAGTTGGTACCAATCAGGCACGCTTGATATGAATTCCTATTTCAAAAGGGTACGTGCTAGGTAGGAGCTGAATGGTCGGGCAATCGAACTATTCGACCAAGAAAATCAAACAGCCTCAACGAACTTCTGTTTTGCTTCATCATATCTCTCCATATAATTCTTCAATAGGTTATGAATTATTCGTCCTTGATGTAACTCGATATTTTCTTGAACAATGTAGCCGAGTTGAGGTATCAAACGATCTCTAGTATCTATCAGAACAGCGTAGTTGGGATTATTGGTCCATGCCTGCAAATAGAACTTCAAATGATCACTATACTACTGTTGTTTCTATAGTCAATGATCTGATTTGCAAGACGAAAATCAGCCGGGAGAAAAAGCCATGTCCATTCACAAGTTAATCGAATTCATTTTGATCTAACTTCAGGAGAAGGAGAAAAGGTGATACAACTCCGGCGAGTGAGTTTTATCACGGTTTCTGAGTGGGAATTTCAAGTGAATTTTCCAGTGAATGACAAAATTGCACCAATGTCAGCCCATGGTGGGACCCATAGCAACACTGACACCGATTCGGACGATATTGCAGATCTTTGACTCATGTTCGCGTTATACTTCACAATAGTAGTTGATTTAGGCCTATGCTGGGTATCTGACAGGAGGCCCGTCGCACGGCGAGAAGGCAGAGACGCAGATGGGACAGCGGACGAGAGCAGCGCGTCCTATGCGATGTGGAACGTACTCCAGTACGTTTTATTTATTGACGCGAAACCACTACAGTTCGTTAGCGACTCGTCCGCCAACGCGTTAAGTTTTGCCTTCTCGCCGCGCGACGACCCCCTGTCAGGTACCCGCCTTGTCCTACATGAGGTGGAGAAGGCAAGTTTCTTCAAAGAAAAAGGAAACACTCTCTCTAGCCACTAGAATTAATTACATGTCAAACAGAGCTTTGGGAAACGTAGGCGAGAAACAACCATATAAGCATAAGCACCATATTTCATCGCATATTGAGCGGATATATGGTAATGCCCTAAAAGCCCCTAGACAGTGTCATTACCTTTAGTTTCATTAGCTTGTTTTCGCAAACCAAAAAACTGGGGTTGAACTTGAACTGACAAAATCTTAATTTTCGCCCGACGCATTTTCTATTTATTACCATGCCTAGAAATATTGTACTGGTATTCGAGATCGCCCGAACGCACCTCATTCCCTTTATGAACCCTTTCGATGAAATCTTTGGACGCTTGTGCCTTCAGATCCCAACCAATTATCACCGCTCGATAGCCATGTACCTGAAAATAGTCGCATGAAAATGGCAAAGACTTTAACAAATTACCTCATGAGGAGAAAAGTTAAAGCCTAGCGCCTTCTAAAAAACAAGCCAAAATGGGTTGTAAAGTAATAAAAAGGTGTTGATGATACTACAATCCCTTTTATAATATGAGGCCTTTTCGTAATGAGAACAGCAAATTCATTTCCTTGAAATACAGTTTGGTAGACATCAACATTTAGCAAAATTAAATAAAAATATAAATAAACCTTGTGCCTAATGACTTGACCGACCCTCCATTGTACATGAGGAGCACGTTCTCGAACACGTAGCGAACCTGCAACCAGCAGAAACATAATTAATTACTAGTCGATAATCCGAATATGAAGACTCAACCACTAGTCGAATTGGGCGATGGTGTCTAGGGGGGGGGGGGGAGCGCAACAGTTCCAAGACAGTGATCCACTTTTTTCGCAAGGAAAGGAAGCTCCAGGGCGTGTGAACCATTCTGCTTGTACAGGTAAGGAAAAACATGTGTTAAATAGAAGTGATTGCCGTAGTTCTGACAAAGTTAAGTGCTGAGGACCGCGATGGAGAAACTGCATAGTACATAAAGTAATAGGAACAGAGATACACCCCTTTTGTTGATGGCGGTTGACACGATTC